TGAGGTTAGAGCCCTCATGATCCAGTTGCTTCCCCAGAGCCTTAGCTCAGAGTGTTGCTGCACTGGGGACCAAGACTTTAGTACTTGAGCCTTTGGGGGACATTCCAGATCAAAATCAACAATGGGCAACTAGGATTTTGAAAGGGATTGTTTAAGTCTGTAAATCAATATGTAGACACTCTTTAAATTTTGTATTGTTTTGTATAACTAGATTTTGTGTTTGTGCCTTTAAAAAATTCTTGCAGTGTATTAGTATTAAATTAACCATGAAGAAAATACAAAGGGATTAAAATTGTGTTATTTAAAACACAATATTATAAAGCTAAATATCTCTACAGCAATTTTTTTGAAGTGTAATAGACTGTGAGTTCTTTTATTACACTAAAAATATTGAATTCCTACCTTCTTTAAGGATCTAAATATTTGCTTATAGCATATAGTCCAGAAATACAGTTGCAAATATCTCATGTGCTCAGGACTACTTTGTTTTGCAAATAGTTTTAAAACATTTTGTAGAGGCTTCTCAGAGGATATATTTCCAAATAGGAAAACATGCACCCACCCGATCCCAAACATAAATGCACCATGACACCTTGGAAAATTTCCATGTCCTCTAAAGTTCAAGGTGTTGCCCTACCTCATGTTTCAGCAATAAAATGTTCCTCCAAGTAATTGTGCAATAATATGGTAAATCGAGTAGATACACAGGAATATTATACAAATTTCAGTTTGTAGTCAACTTATAAACAGCAGAACATGCCACTGCTTCCCAGTAGTGAACAGCCAAACTGGTTTGGTAGGTGAGCCCTATGACGTTCTTTTTTTTACAGCAAAATTTTTTTACATACAGAGAAATTATCATAAAAAGGAGTGCCAGAAGAGGTCGCAAACTATGTGAGAGCTTTATAAATAGAGGAAAATTCTATTATCAAAGAATCCATAGGTCCTTGAGAGTTTTGTTTTCTTTTGCCCTGTTGCTTTTTACTCTTTGAATTTATTTTATTTATTCTAATTAGTTATAAATGACAGCAGAATGCAGTCCAATTCATATTACACAAATAGAGCACAATTTTTCATGTCTCTGGCTGAAGCCCTATTGCTTTTTATGATGAGATTCATTTTGTCGTTAAAGCATTAGCAAAAGTTTGTACATGGGAAAAATTAGACATGTATGAGACTTCTTAATAAATGTGGATGAGGATTACAAAAATAAACATCTTAGATTTTAGTAATGCTTTAGAGTCCATTAGATCCTTGAATAAGACATAGGCAAGTATTCAATAGTTTGGTTTTCTTTCTGTTTTGTTTTGTTTTAATTGACAAGTAAAGACTATGTATTTGTGGTATACAGCATGATGTGTTGGTATATATACATACTCTAGGAAGACTAAATGCAGCTATTTAGCATAAGTATCACCTCACTTTTCATTTTTTTTGTTGTTATTGTTGTTGTAGTTGGACACAGTACCTTTATTTTATTTTAATATATTTTTATGTGGTGCTGAGGATCGAACCCAGGGCCTCGCATGTGCTAGACGAGCGCTTTACTGCTAAGCCACAACCCCAGCCCCCACTTTTCAATTTTTTATGGTAAATAGCTTGTGTAGTTTTATTTAGTCAGTAAATACCATAATCCATTGGTTCTCAACCTTGGATACTATGCATTGGAGTCACTCAAGAGCCCCAAGCAGCACACTAGACCAGTTAAACCAGAATCTGACTGGAGTGGCATAGGGTAAGATGGGACTAGCAAAATTTGAATATCAGAATTTCTTTTATATATATATTTAGTTGTAGATGGACACAATACCTTTATTTTATTTTTATGTGGTGCTAAGGGTCAAACCCAGTGCCTTCCACATGTGAGGTGAGCACTCTACCACTGAACTACACCCCCAGCCCAGATATCAGAATTTCTTAAAGCTCCCTGGAAAATCCACTGTGCTTCCAACAATGAGAACCACTGCCATAGACAATTGAAAATGCAAGTGAGAGACTGAGCTCAGGAAAATATAATCAATCTGAAGTGGCAATTAAAGTCATGCTCCCTAAACTGTATATTCGACTTTAAAAAAAAAAAAAAAAACTTTATTTATTTATTATATGGTGCTGAAGATCGAACTAGTGCCTCACACAGGCTAGGCAAGCATTCTGCCACTGAGCCACAACCCCAGCCCCAGTATGCCACTTTTTTTAAATTAGTTTTTTCTTTTGGTGCCGGAATTGAATCAAGAAAGAGCCTTGTACATACTGAGCACATGCTCTACCACTTAACTATATACCCCTAGAACCTGTAGGCCAAGTGTCTTTTTTTTTTAACTGACAAATAAAAACTATGTATATTTGTGGTGTACAACATGATATTTTGGTATATATACATACTCTAGGAAGACTAAATGAAGCTATTTAACATAGTATTACTTCACTTTTCAATTTCTTTAATTTTTTTTTTTAGTCATAGATGGGCATACTACCTTTTTTTTTTTTAAATGTGGTGCTGAAGATCAGACCAAGCTCCTCAGATGTGCAAGGCCATGAGCTACAACCCCAGCCCTAATTTTTAAATGTTTATGGTAAATAGCTTATGTAGTTTTATTCAGTCAACAAATTCCATAATCCATTGGTTCTCAACCTTGGATACTATGCACTGAAATCCTTTAATATCAACAGTAAAAACTACCATGGAATTATCAGAACATAATGATTTGCTATTTGTCTTTTTCTGTGACCAATAATAAAAGATTATCTAATCACCAGAACTCCAAAATTTGATAGTAAGATCAATTATGTATACTCCCATATAACTTGGCTTTTTTTTATGGTGGGGGGAAGTCTACTGCTAAAAAAAAAATTAAGTCTGTAAGCCACTAGTTTATTGAAAAAAGGACTGACTTAGGAGTTTGGAAACTTCTCGCTGGATGTGGTGGTGCATAGTTGTAATCCCAGCAATTTAGGAAGCAGAGGCAAGAGGATCACAAGTTGAAGGCCAGCCTCAGCAACTTAGCAAGACCTTATCTCAAAATTAAAAATTTTTAAAGGACTGGTGATTTAGCTCAGTTGTAAAGTGTCCCTGGGTTCAACCCCTAGTATCCTTGCCCCCCCCAAAAAAAAGGGGGGGTTGGGGGAGAGTTTGAGAACTTCTCCTCTTGAGTTAGTTCTGCTGTTACTTTGAACCAACATATTAAAATTATACTTTATAAAGTGAGGTCATTGATCTGGAGATAATCACCAAATTATTTATCAAACAAGTTGGATTGCTTACTGTGCTCTAGGCAAGGACACAGGATGAACAGAATGTAGACCAGGTCCTTGAAAAGTTTGAAGAATTCAGGCACATGTGCAGAATATGTAAATGTAGCCATGGGTAAATGTTCAGGGAATTAAGGAAATAGACATACTTCACTTGCTTTCAATATTGGGATAGATACTCATTGCCCATTCAGCAATGATTCCTTCAAAGCTACCTTTGAAGCTGAGGCATGAACATGTGACCCATTGCTGGTAGGTAAGACCAGAGAAGTCTGAGGAAGTTTTTCTTGTAAAAGTTGACAATTGAGAAAGTACCCTTCTTTCCTTCCTGTCTTATTTCATGGAGACAGACAATTGGCACTGTAGAGGCCATCTTGAGACTTTGAAGACTTTAAAACAAAGGATTTCATGCTGGAGCAGCCAAAAAGAAACGTGGAAAGAGCCTGGATTCTTCATTTCAACGCTGAGCTGCTAAACCCTAGAACCTTGTTATTGAGATAATAAACATCCTTACTGGTTGAATCCTTGCTGCTTTAAGAACATTCTGTGGATAAGCAGTGTCAGCATCATCTGGGAGGTTATGGTTAGGAATGCAGAATCTCCCACCCCACTTCAGACCTGCTGTGTCAGAATTTGCACTTTAATCAGTCACCAGGTTACTGCAGTGCACATTAATGCTTGGGAGGCACAAGTTTAAACTACTTTTAATTGAGCATTCTGTTAATATTCACTTAATTCAGCCCTACTAATCCAAACACATTTTGGATTGACCAAATGCCATTTTTTTTTTTTTAAGTGCCTACCATGTGTGAGGCACTGGGTTTGATTTTGATAACCCGAAAGACTTGAATATGTGGAGTTGCAAAAAAATCATTATTCTCACTATAACTTAATAGTCACATGTGGGAGATGCCCAGCACAGATAACCTTCTTAGTGTCCATTGATGCTTAGAGGCACAGTGATCAAGAGTTTCAGAATACCGGGCTGGGGATGTGGCTCAAGCGGTAGCGCGCTCGCTTGGCATGCGTGCGGCCCGGGTTCGATCCTCAGCACCACATACAAAAAAAAAAAAAAAACTAAGATGTTGTGTCTGCCAAATACTAAAAAAAATAAATATTAAAATTCTCTCTTTAAAAAAAAAAAAGAGTTTCAGAATACCACTCAGAACATATGGGAATTTCTTTGTAAGTAGAAATTAAATTTCTAGAGTCATGATTGCTTCTACCATTCCTCAAGTGACTATGGCAATTTGTTGCTTAAGAACAAGACATTGGGGCTGGGGTTGTGGCTCAGCAGTAGAGCGCTCACCTAGCACGTGCAAGGCCCTGGGTTTGATCCTCAGCACCACAGAAAAATAAACAAACAAAATAAAGGTATTGTGTTCAACTACAACTGAAAAAAAATAAATTAAAAAAAAAAAGACATTGGATTTTTTTAAAAGTGTTGTGGGTTTTGCTTATTCATTTATTTATTGAGTCAGTATTTATAAAGCAACTCATAATTACTCTAAAAAGAGCCAATTTTTATTTCCTCAGGTGGGAAAATTTCTGTTATCTTTTCTTTCTAAGGTATTGTCCTGGAAATTCAATAAACCTGCATAAAAAATGAAACAATCACTGGATGTTAATCTTGACTTTTCCTTCAACTTTGGTTGTGTATACTTTTAATAATGTTTGTTGGAAGAAAGGTAAAATGGTAATGAGTTAAATAACTATAGTAGTGAAATTAATAAAATGTTTTTATTTTACAGGAAAAATATTTATCCCCAAACAGAAACCTGTACAGACTTTGACAGAGGAAAGTGTATCTGTTGATCCAGAATTAGAAGAAGCTTTGATGAGTGCTTCTGATACAGAATTGTGTGACCTTGCAGGTATCCCTAAAACAAATTTGTGAATAGTACCTGGGATGGGGAGAGACCAAAGGATGCCCCAGTATCCATCCTACAAATGCTTGCTTTGCCTAACAACCTGCTAACAATGAGTAGCCATATATTTGGCTTTGTATTTCACACAGCAATCTGACATGCAGGTTTCTTTAAATATTCTCAATAGTGAAATGTTTACACTAAAAGGATTTATTTTATATGTGACACTTCTATGTTGCTGTACTTGAAAGTTTTGATAAAAATCTTTCATCACCGTGTGCAGGGCTAGAAGCTGTCCTATCTAAAAACTGAAAGAGTCTTCAAGGGTCGATTGCTGCCCCATTTTATCAGAAGACCTAGCGATAGGTCACTGGAAAGCAAGTGGATCAGTCAGTTCTGAATTTTACTTGCCACTTTGCTAACTTTTCTAAAGTGTATATGGAGCACTGCAAACTCTCATATTATTTTCATCATTGTGAATGTCTTATATAGACGAGTGAAATCTCTGCCATTTTTCTCAACAGAAAAATGTGACACATAGGTAGATCTTAGTACCAAATAACCCCAAGAGCTAACATGTTTGAAAGTAGTAATGATGGTTCTTTGGGAAGGACCTTGGAAGAGGAAAAGTTGAAGTGTGGTGTCACAGAGCATGCGCTATATTCCTTGAGGGACTGAGGACTGGTGGATTTGTAGATGTACATTTATAAGAGTGAAATGGATCAGGGGCATACTGAAACTTCTGCCTTATTTGTACAAAAAAGGCATCAAACATTAAACTTATTTCCTGAGGGATGCTACTTTATTCTTTGAGAATTTAATAGTATTCTAATCTTAGCTAGAATGCAAATGTAACTTAAATGACATGAATTTAACAAATATAAAAATAGCAGAGGGACTGGGGTTGCAGCTCAGTGGTAGAGTGCATGCCTACCATGTGTGAGGCACTGGGTTTTATTCTCAGCATCACATATAAATAAAAGTAAAGGTCCATTGACAACTTAAGAAAATTTAAAAATAGCAGAGATAAGTTGAAACCTGTCTTTATTAGCATTATGTTCCTGGAAACCTTATTGAGATAAATCCATCAATTTTCTTTTTTAGCCACCAGATGGAGCTAAGCACTGGTTTACCTTAAATATGATTAGGCTGACTTCAGCTGTGAATCTGAATTTTAAAGTGTGGGGTAATCTTAAATTCAGAAATAGGAAGGAAAATAACAAGGGTATTTGTGAGGATGAGATTGTAGGTGATTTTTAATCACATTATCTCCTCTTTTACTATAAAATTTGCATTTAGTTAGTAAAAAAAAGTGTCTGGAGCATGTTAAAGTGATTGATAACAATTTTTGGTTGCAAGCCAGGTACATTGGTGCCAACCTATAGTTCCACCTACTTGGGAGATTGAGGCAGGAGAATCACTTGAACCCGAGACTAGCCTGGACAACAGAGCAGGACTCTGTCTTGGGGTGGGAGGGGAGTTTAAAGCAGATGGAAATAAAGCCTAATTCTTTTTTCCTATATTTACAGCTATTCTTGGGATGCATAATTTGATAACAAATACACAATTTTGTGATATAGTGGGAAGTAGTAATGGTGTTGATAAAGGACATTTTTCAAGTGAGTACTTAAAATATTTTGTGAATTCCAATCCTTTACTAAATATATTTTCTTCATGTATTAGTCTTAGTATTTATATACCAAATATTGTATATATGTACTTGAAATAAAATTTCAGTTTGATGATATTGACAAAGAAAGCCATTGAAAATAAAGTAATAAATACTTTTTGCTTAATTTGTTAGCAAATGTACTAGGAATTGCTGTTATCTCAGTAAATAATATTAATAGTAAGCAATATAAAACTTAGTATGCAAGACCCTGGAATCAATCCCCAGAACCTCAAAAAAAAAAAAAAAAAACTAGTTAGACTTAGTTTTTATTGACATGTTATCATTGTTATTGCTGATTTCTAAGAAATTCAAAGCAGTTCAAAGAACCCATGTTATAAAATCAGATTCAGGAGAAACCACAAAAATATTCAGCCCCTAAGCCTTTCAGTCTGGCTTGAAATATTAAATGGCTTTTTAAAACATTTTTTAATAAATATTTTTTTAAAATTTAAAAAATACATTGTTAAAGTGTTTTTAAATTCTTAAGGCAATACATGATTTGTAGCACGTTTAAATAGTGTATAAGGATAAGAAGTAAAAATATCTCTACCACAGTCATTGTGCCCACTACTCCTCCACCATCATCCTGTTAACAATTTGATATATAACCTTCTAGACTTTACTGTTTATACAAATCTATATGTGTTATATATAATATAAATTGTTTGGGGGGAGTTGTTTGAATTTTTTTAAAGTGATATATTATAAAAATTCCTTGCACCTTACATTAATAATACTATTGGCTAATTTTTATTCAGTGTTTTCTGTGGCCATGTTTTTTTGGGCACAGTTTCTGAATGTGGATTATTCTCAATCCTTACAACAGTTCTGTGAAATAAGTATTATTATTATTGTTGTTGTTATTATCTTTAATTTGCATGTGAGGGAGCTAGGATTCAGAAAAGACTTAAGCAGCCTCACTGTCACACACAATCAGCAATTTTAACACATGCTGTGGAGTAAATCACTCAGCAATGTACTATGTTTCCTGGTTAGCATATATAGATATACCTCATTCAGACATCTTCACAACATTGTTTTATATAATATGGCCATCCTCCCCAGTTTAAATTTAACTTTTTCTTTAAGAAATGTTTTAATATACATAAAAGAAAAAAAGAATAATGTATTCATCTCCTAGTTTCAGCTGTATTTTAACATTTTGCCAACCTTGTTTGATCTACCTTCTGCCTCACTTCCAACTTAATCCACTTTTTTTTTCTTAAGTATTTTAAAGCCAATCCTGTTCACTTGGGTTACTTCATCTGTAAATATTTTCCATATGTGTCTCTTTCAAACAAAGAAGTCTTTTTTTTTTTTTTTTTTTTGCGGGGGGAAGGGTACCAGGGATTGAACTCAGGGGCACTCTGAGTCACATCCCAGCCCTATGTTTGTATTTTATTTAGAGACAAGGTCCAACTGAGTTGCTTAGCACCTCCCTGTGGCTGAGGCTGGCTTTGATCCTCCAGTCTCAGCCCCAACAAGCCTAGCCAAGTCATTTCTTTTTAACAGCCACATGCCATTGTTAAACTTAAAAATGAATAATTTTTTCATATCTCCAAAATCCATTGCAAGTCCATATTTTCCATGTTCTTTCAAAAATGTCATTTCATGCTTGGTTTAAATCATGATCCAAATAAGGGTTACACAATGCATTTGGTTATTTGATTTTCCAGTCTCTCTTAATTTCTTAACAGTTCTCCTCAACTGGCTCCCCCCACACACACTTTTTCATGTCATTTATTTCTTGAAGAAACTGGGTTTCATTCAAGTAAAAATGTCTACACCCTGGATTCAGCTGATTGCAACCCCATGATGTTACCTTTCGTGTCTCCTTTGTTTCTGTTCAGTCTAGTGGCTTGATCAGATTCAGCTACAGGGCTTTGTTTTGTTTTTTTAAGAATGCCTCACAGTTGGTGATTGAATCACATTAAGAAGCTTATCATGTAAGCTTATGATGGCATATGCATATAATCCCAGCCGCTGGGAGGCTGAGGCAGGAGGATCACAAGTTCAAAACTAGCCTGGGCAGCCTCAGGAAGGCCCTAAGCAACTTAGTGAAACTCTGTCTCTAAATGAAAAATAAAAAGGGCTGGGGATTGGCTCAGTGGTTAAGCCTCCCTGTATTTAATCCTTTGTACCAAAAAAGAAAGAAACAGCAGTAGCAGCTTATCGAGACTGATCCTCATCTTTGGGGAACTTTTTAAAATTGATCAGTAGATTCAGATGTTGGTAATCAGATCATCTGTGTAAAGCTCCTTATTTACCTAATGATTTCAGCATCCCATTGGCCAGATCCCTTGTTTCGTTAAGGGGCAGGGCTCTTTAAATATACATATTCTGTTGAATGGGAAAAGAAATCCTTTGGTTTTATAAAATATAGAACACACTAAATTTTCCATTCTGTGAGAAAGAACTTCCCCATCTCCCTTGATTTGCTACCTTGAAGAAGACTGTCTTGATGAATTTAAATGAGAAAGAGCCTGCTCTTCCCTTGGTGTTTGTATTTAATAATATCTTATTTCAACTTTATATGTATATGTCAACACACAAAGGTTCTTTTAGGAATTATGGAGAAGGAACTCTTAAATCTATTCTGTTAAGTATTTGTGTGTGCATGTGTGAAAGAGAGACACCGGTGTGTTTACCAAGTAACTGTGTGAATCCATTCTCAATCCGTCAACTTTTGCTCTTTTCATTGTTTACCACAGATGTAGTGAAAGGTGAAAAGATTCTTCCAGCATTTGATGAGCCACCAAATCCAACCAACGTTGAAGAGAGTTTAAAGAGAATTAAAGAAAACGATGCTCATCTTGTTGAAGTTAATTTGAATAACATAAAGGTAAGTGTGTTAAGCAGACAATAAAGTTTTTTGTATTGCTTTGAATTAGTTGAACCTAGGATAATAGTGGGGTAGTTTTGATATAGTAGTCTGATTCTACTTTAAGGTAAAGTTTTTGCTCATGAGCATGTAGAAATATAGGTTCCTTCAAATTTTGGAAATTAAAGTATTATAGAATAGTGTTTTTTACTTACTTTTAAAAGAGTTTATTATATAAAGTGTACGCCCTAAAAACTCTCAGTAAATCTCTCTGACCTTTAAAGTATTGCCTTCTTTGAAGAACTTCAGTCTTTGGGGTTTTGTTTGTTTTGTGGCACTGGTCATTGAACCCAGGCCCTTTTGCATAGGAGGCAAAAGCTCTACCTTTGAGCTATGTCCCCAGCTCTGTTATTGTTTTTTAAATTAGTTTCTTTTTGTTGTTTGTTTGTTTGTTTTTGAACTGGTGATTGAACTCAGGGGCACTTGACCACTGAGCCACATCCCCAGCCCTATTTTGTATTTTATTTAGAGACAGTCTCACTGAGTTGCTTAGCACCTTGCTTTTGCTGAGGCTGGCTTTGAACTTGCAGTCCTCCTGCCTCAGCCTCCCGAGCTTCTGGTATTACACGCATGCGCCACCACATCTTGCCAAATTAAATTTTTTTAAGGTGTTGTTTGTATGTGGTAAAATTCTCCCTTTTAGTATACAGTTCTGAGTTTTGACAAATATACACAGTTGTATGACCATTGCCAAAGTAAAGATATAAAACATATCTGTTACCCCAGAAGTTCCTCATACCCCTTTGTAGTCATTCTCTTCCCCACAACTCACCCCTGACAACCACCAGTCTATTTTCTTTCTCCATAATTCTGCATTTTCCAGAATTTCATGTAAAAAGAATCATACAGAATGTAGCCTTTTGAGTCTGGCTTTCTCATTTGGCATAATGTATTTGAGATTTGCCTGTTGTTGCAGGTATCGGGATTTTGTTCCTTTATTGCTGAGTAGCGTTCCATCCTGTGGATATGCTACAGTGTGTTTATCCATATTGGTTGCTTCTAATTGGGGATGATTACATATAAAACTACAGTACAAGTTCTCATGTGAACATATGTTTTTATTTTTCTTGGGTAAATAATCTAGAAATGGGTTTTCTGAGATTTTATTGGTTTTTAAACAATGCAACTCTTCCTTGGAGTAAGGAAAGAAGAAATGAGTTAGGAGGAAAGAAGGTCTTGGAGAAAATCAGTATCCTTAGTGATCAATAATTGTCTGGTTTTTTTTTTTTTTAATTCACTCCCTGTATCTCTTTGTTTCTAAGTAAAGATTAATGATCTGAAGACTGCAAGACTATAGGGACTTGGCATCTTGATTGCCCACCAGAGCAATCAGTGCTTTCCATATTTTCCTCCTTTAGTTAGTATAGGGTTAATCTCTCCTAAATCTGTAAACTAAGCAACTGAGAATAGTATGTCATCTGCCTCAGGAATCATACTCAGTGGAGGCAGACTTCACATCTCTCTTCTTAGAGAAAAGTGGTTCCATTTTGGACAATTAGGGGTTGGTTTCATATACTAAAACAATTAAAAGTAGAATGGTGAGTTTCTTTTAACTGAAGTGCTAGAGAAATAGTGGTATGTTTCTGCAAATGCACCAATATAGAGAAGTCACATAGATTTTGAGGACATTGCTATTTTTCATTTATAAAGTTGTTACTATAATTTCTGAGTATCTTTTAAAACAGAAAGTAAGTACAAGTATATTTAATTAATGGACTGAATTTAAAAACTAAAATGAAATATGTTACATGTTACTGTCTTTCAAGAATATCCCAATTCCAACCCTAAAAGACTTTGCAAAGGCTTTGGAAACCAATACACATGTGAAATATTTCAGTCTTGCAGCCACCCGAAGCAATGATCCTGTTGCTGTTGTAAGTACACTACTATTAAGAATATTGAAATAATGCATGCATACCTGGATATGTTACAATGAGGTCAAACTGATTTTTTAAACAAGATTTAGTCCCTTTTTTCAGTTGATGTTTAAGCTCACTATTAGGCAATTCATTATTTACTACCTTTTTGTGTTTATTTTTTCCTGCATTTCTTTTTAGTTTTCAGTGGACACAACATCTTTATTTGTATGTGGTGCTGAGGATCGAACCCAGGGCCCTGCGCATGCTAGGCGAGCGTACTACCTCTTGAGCCACATCCCCAGCCCTTTCCTGCATTTCTTTCTATGAACTTTTTAAAACATAAATGGGGATTGGGGTATAACTCAGTGGTAGAGTGCTTGCTTGATGTGTGCAAGGCTCTGGGTTTGGTCCCCAGCACTGTGAAAACAAAAACATAAATGGAATTATGCAATATATACTGTTCTGTAACATGATTTTTCACTCAGCATTTATCTTAGAGATCTTTTCATACCAGCACATAAAAACCTAATATATTCTTTTAACATCTGCAGAGGATTTCATATATGGTTCTGTAGTTTTAGACTTTTGTAGTTTTTTTTTTTAATATTTTTGCTTTTTCTCTGTGGAAATGATCATGTGGCTTTCGTTCTTTATTAATATGATAAATTAACACTAATGATTTTTGTATGTTAAGTCAGCCTTGCATTCCTGAGATAAATCCCTGGTCATGGTATGAACCTTTTCCTTCACTTTGCTTTGGGAATTTCACTCCCTTCGGTTCTCTTCTAACCTCACCACGTGATTTCAGCTCCCTACACAAGGTTCCTCCTCATCTCCCCAACCTTTAAACATTGGAATTGGTCCAGGCCTTCATCCTTCTTTTCTCTGTCTGCACCTTCCTAGGTGATCTCATTCCATTTCATCCATGTATGTTAACTATGTATGCTGATGACTCCCTGTGTTACTATCTCCAGTTTGAACCTCTCTCCTGAACTCCTTACATATGCTCACCTTCCTACTTAACAGCTTTACTTGGATAGTTAATAGACACCTACATCAAACTCCCAAACCAAACTCCTGACTCACAATCTTTTCTACTTAAATAGCAACTTTGATCTATTTCTCAGGCAAAACAAAGGAATCATCTTTGACATCCCTTTCTGACAGCCTTAAAAACATATTCAGTACCATCTCAAAAATGTTTCTAGAATCCAACCAATTTCTTTTATTTAATTAATTATTTATTTTATTTGGTGCTAGGGATTTAACCTAGGGGCATTTTACCACTGAGCTACATCCCTAGCCTTTTTTTTTTTTGGTTTTAGGGATTGAATACAGGATCACTTGACCACTGAGCATCCCTGGCCCTGTTTTGTATTTTATTAGACACAGGGTCTCACTGAGTTGCTTAGTGCCTTGCTAAATTGCTGAGGCTAGCTTTGAACCCGTGATCCTCCAGCCTTCACCTCCTGAGCCTCTGGGATTATAGGTGTGAGCCACCAGCCACCGTGCCTGGCCCCAGACTTTTTTTTTTTTTTTAGTTATAGGTGGACACAATATCTTTTTTATTTTATGTGGTGCTGAGGATCAGACCCAGTGCCTCATACATGCTAGGAGAAGCTCTCTACCTCTGAGCCACAACCCTAGCCTCTATTTTTTTTTCATTTTTGAAACAGGGTCTTGCTATTGCTTAGGGCCTTGCCAAGTTGCTGAGGCTGGAAGTGGTTGGATTCTAGCCAGCCTGGTGGCACACACCTGCAATCCCTCCAAAATTGCTGCTATTACAGACATGCACCTCCATGTTTAGCTAGACTTTAACCGCTTCTTAACCATTTTCATTAATTACTATGCCCTAATCCAAGCCACCATCTTGTCTCACTGAGACTCCTGCAGGAGCCTCCTAATGAGCTACCTTCTGTCTTACCCACTGCAAAGTCAATTTTTTACACAGCATCAGAATTTGATGATTTTACTTGAGTTAGATCATTACATATGTATGTACATATATTATTATGTGTATATGTATCAGATTATTATATGTATAGATCATTATGTGTTTATATATATAAGGGATTGAACTCAGGGTCAATCCCCGAGACATACACACACACACACACACAGACACACACACACACACACACACACACACATATAAACACTGAGCAGAATGACTAGCATTGCCTCATATCATGAGAAAAATTTAATGGAAGCAGAGTAAAGACAGTATTCCTTGAGGAGTTTAATATTTAGTTAGTTCTTTCTTCTCTATAGTCTTAGCTCTTTCAGTTCTAGTTATCCGTGATCTTTTCTGGTCTTCTGCCTTGGAAATTAATTTAGCCTATAATTTCTTCTCAGTTTGGCTTCACAGTGATTCAGCTGCAGCAGGACCCAGCTGCAGTAAGAGAAGATGAAATTATTTCTACACAGAAACTGAGAGAAAGCTTTGGAAACTTAGGAGAAAGAAGCATGAAATAACATATAAATAAACATGAGAATGTGAATAGGAGTAGAAAATTACATGTGACCAAAAAAACCTAAAGATTATAACAGGGTACATGTGACAAGTAGAAAACATGTGAAACCTCTACAATATTGTGTCAGGTTGAAACAATCTAAAGAGAAACATTAAGGCAGTTATGTTAATTTATGTATTTATTTATGGAATGTGCAGCATGTAATAGGTGCTATCAAATTTTAATCTCCAAATATTTTCTTGAATTTCTAGGCTTTTGCAGATATGCTGAAAGTAAACAAAACTTTGAAGAGCTTAAATATGGAGTCCAACTTCATTACAGGAGCTGGGGTTCTGGCACTGATTGATGGTTTAAGAGATAATGAGACCCTGGCAGAGCTTAAAATTGACAATCAGGTCAGTGTTGTACAATAGCTACAGCCCACACTCTGTAGGGCTTGGGACCTGGGCAGGGAAAGCATGGGGTGGGAGAGGTGGGGGGAAGAGGGACTAAAGGGGATGAGAGGACATTTGGAGCACCCAGAATATTGACTTAATGTATATAAAGATGTGTACCAAGCAACTTTTCCTGAGTCATTTTAAGAGAATTGAGATGGCTGCCTATTTTGAACTGAAAGGGCTCATACATGTGACAGTCTGTTCTCCATTTTTTTTTTTTTTTTAGCTCTCTGGTAGCAAGATTAACATTGTAGATTTTTATGTTTATAATGTGTCACAATCTCAAACACATAGTAGACTAATAGAATAGGTTAAATGAAAGAACAGTGCCAGACATGGTGGCACATACCTTATAATCCCAGCTACTCAGCAGACTGAGGCAGGAGGATCATGAGTTCAAGGCTAACCTCAGCAACTTAGACCCCATTTCAAAATGAAAAAAAATAAAATAAAAACTGGGAATATTGCTCAGTGGTAGAGCGGGTTCAGTCCACAGTACTGTTAAAAAACAAAACAAAAGTTCCAATATCTAGTTACCCTGAGGGCATAGTCTGTCTGGCTGAGTAAGTACAGTCATGGTACTTAACATAATGCTGGGGTCACCCACATCCAGACGAACTTTTAAAGAGGCAGAGAATTATACATGTTAGAAATACTTCCATCCAGGGTGGTTACTAATTTTTTTTAATTTGAAAAATAACTGTCCAAAAAAGAAAACCCATACCTATGAGCAATCGCTCACATTCATTGCTTCTACCAGTGCCTGGAAACTGGTAATAAAGTTTCAGTGAAATTATGTAATATGTGACTTTCTGTGACTGTTTTTTTTTTGACCTACCATCATAATGTTCTGAAGGTTCATCCATGCTATAGCATGTATCAGTACTCCTTTCCTTTTGATGGGTGAATAATATTCTATTACACTTGAAGTGTTTTTATTTTTTTTAGTTAATAAAAACAATGCCACTATGACCATTCATGTAAAAATTTTTGTGTGAACTTGAGTTTCATTTCTTTTAGGCACATACCTAGGAGTAGAATTGATTCATAGTATGGTTATTCTGTTTAAATTCTTGAGCAGTTGCCAAGTGGTTTTCCATGACATCTGTAGAATTTTATATTCCTACCAAAAATGCAGAGGGGACCCTCAGTTTTTCCCACATTCTTCTTGCTGTTGTCTTTTTTTTTTTTTTTAACAGGGTCATGCTATGTTGCCCAGGTTTGTCTCAAACTTCTGGGAGCTTTAAGTAGTCCTGCCTCAGCCTCCTTTGTACCTGGGACTATAGGTGCATAGCACCACACCATGTGCTTATCCTTTTTTTCCCCATCATTCTCTTCTTCATGGACATGAGGTGGTGTCTCATTATGGAATGTACTTTTTTTTTATGTCTGTATGATCATGTATTGATCTTTTAAAATTTTGTTTCTTACTGGGTGTAGTGTTGCATGCTCGTAATCTGGTATTCAGGAGACTTGAGGCAGAAGAATCATAAGTTTGAGGCAAGCTATGGCAATTTAGACCCTGTCTCAGAATTAAAAAATAAAAATTAGGGCTGGAGGTATACTGAAAAAAAAAAAACTTTTTTTTTTTTTTTTTGGTGTTTCTATGTTCATTGTAGGAATTGGAAAATTTAAAGAGACCAGCTATTAACATGTGTTTGAATATCTTAGTCTTGATTTACTTGAGAAAAATTTTGACCTAGTTTCTTAATACTAATATTCATTTCTAATTCTTCCAGAGGCAACAGTTGGGAACAGCTGTAGAATTGGAAATAGCCAAGATGCTTGAGGAAAATGCAAATATCCTTAAATTTGGGTATCAGTTTACACAGCAAGGACCCCGAACCAGGGCAGCTAATGCTATAACAAAAAACAACGACTTAGGTAAGACATTTGAAGTGTCAAATCAAGTTTCTGAATTATATTATTAAGCTAATAGATTGGGGGAATATCTATTTTACTTCCAAAATAAATTTTGACAGAGAAATTACTGGTTCTTTGTTTCTAAAATCTACACAGTCCTTTTTGCACTGATTGAGTTAAAGTTTAGCTAGGTTATGGTGATCATTGTGTTGGTGATAAGCCAATTTTCTGTGACAAATATTTTATAGCTTTAAGGAAATTTTCTATAAAACAAATATTTTGTTCTCATTTACAAATATTTCAGTACAGTCAAGGTTCTTGTCCTTTTTACAGAACAGATCCAGATGAAAATTCAGTTTTAGATGATGAAATAAAGAATAGTTATAGTTTTACCCCAAGCTGTAAAGTCACTGATATATAAATGCTGCACTTGGTGGTCTCCCGAACATGACACCATTTGTTTTTCCACTTCACACAGCTAGAACAGCAGTCTCCCTTTCTTTCATGTTTCTGTTGAGCTGCTAAGGCTTGTGACTTATGTTTGAAACAAACTTTCCAGCCACAGCTGAATTAAAGAATATGTTGCTCAAAATTTTGTTTGTACATGTTTCCAAAAAGTGACTCTTCTTTTAAGTTTTGATATGTGGTATTAAAGTATTTTAAAAGATGCATTTTAGAAAGAATTAAAATAGACTTCTCAAAAGGAGTTAATATTTCAAAGTGATGTAGTTTTGTTAAACTTCAGGCATATTCGAGTTTGCTGCCTTTTAAAGTTTCTGGAGCAAAAAAAAAATACAGTTCCATTTCTTTAATCCAGATCACCAAGAAAAGCAAGAACATTTGGGCTGGGGTTGTGGCTCAGCAGTAGAGCGCTTGCCTACCACATGCAAGGCTCTAGGTTCGATCCTCAGCACCACATATATATATAAATAAATAAATGAATGAATGAATGAATGAATGAATGAATGAATGAATGAATGAATGAATGTATTTTGTCCAACTACAATTAAAAAATAAATATATTTTTTAAAAAAATAAAACATTCAAACCCTTCTGTCCTTTGTATTTCCTATAGGAAATTTTGGCCACTTGGATTTTTTTAAAAATGGCTTTGTTTTGGTGGATTGTCAATTCTAGATGTAGTTTGCAAACTCATACTAAAATTGGTTTAGTATTGGTTCACAAGTTTCCATTTTTTTCTCCAGGTATTTAATTTGATTTCGCTAGAGCAGTGTAGTCTGGCTGAACTTCATAAATAATTGAAGACCTTTAAAAACATGAAGATTTTCGGCTTTCCTTCTTTTAGGGAAGTAAAGGACTTGGTCATTCAGATGCTTAATAACTAATTGTGTAATAGTTCACATTAAGTGAAACCCTGGTTTTTTTCTCCAGTGATAAGTGGCTATTGGAGTTTTGCTTCTGTCATTGAGCATATGTGCCTCGTGTACCCTCTACTTGTCACAGCTTCTGTCATACTTTCTAAATGGCTTTTACTGAGTAAATCAGTTCTACTTCATTGAAATAGTATGTTTTGGGATAGGGACCATGTTTTTGGCAGAGAGGTCATGTCCAGATGTTTAATCTTAAAATCATGTCTGACATATAGCAGGTTCTTATTAAAAATTAAGGGAATAAATAGGGCAAAATTTGTCTTTGCTCAAAGTTACAATTTCCTGCTAACCAAGTAGCCATAAATTAAGCCACGAGTATCCTCCATTTTTCTTGTCCTTTGAAACTATCTTAACAAATCCCAGAATGCCATCAACAAATTTGTAGTCCTAACCATCTTTTGTCACCTGCGTCCTTCCCAGCAGGCAGGTGATCCCAGTAGCTGTCCTTGCAGGAACTGCACAGTGAAAGCCCATAAGTGTCACCTTGGGGAAACTAACCTTTGCAAGGCCTCAGCAGTTGTACTCTTCTGACAGACCGTATGAAAAGAAATGTCTAGTATTAGAATAAGGAGATTTTGGCAAATGAAAATGGAGAGCAGAAAAAACTATTTACTACGCTACCTTATGTAGACACTGAACAGTTTATATATTGTTGAAGATAAGGTCTGACACAAAGAAGAATCAAGAGGAAGCAATCGGGGGCTGGGTCAGCAGTGGAATGCTCACCTAGCATGTGCGAGGCGCTGGGTTTGATCCTCAGCACTATATAAAAATAAATAAATAAATAAAGGTTTTTTTTTAAAAAAAGAAGAAGCAAACAGCTTTGTGCTGGAAGCTCTCTAGACTGTACTAATGTTGTTTGATTCTGGTCCCAATTGGATTGCGTACTTGTTTCTCAGATGTGAAATGACAAGGAGGACATTCCTGGAGTGAGAAAAATGAATGAAGAAAGGCTCAGATATAAGAATAAGCAAGTTATTTATTTATATGCTGAGGAAGACCCATAGATTTTGAGAGCTAATTCTTATAATGTGATACTGAGTCCAGAATAAACTTTCCATAAGTACTTGTTTTAATAAGTACAGAATAAAAAAGTAACATTAGCAGATTAAGAAGCATAGTTAGTGGAAGATACTAAAATTATATTTGTTGGATGTTATGTGGGAAGCGTTTGAGAACATCTTAGATGTCTAAATGTATGATTAAGATAATACTTTTAAAAAAAACCCTATTCCTATTACTCTTAGAGAAAATGAAGTTAGGACTTACAATTGATTACTGATGAAATATTAAGAATTTATATCAGTGAGTTGGGTTTTGGAAAGAAATTGGACTAGGCCCAAATAATTGCTAATAGGGCAAAATTTATCAGCCTATTATCTAAAGGATAAACTTAGGAATTGCTGAAAAGTAACAAGTGGGCACCAAGTGAGAAAAAAGAATCAGAGTGGCTCTTACCCATCACATTGTGCACACAGCAGCAACTTCCTGGTCATCCACTCTCAGCTTAATTTTTTCTTAGCCATACACTCTAATCTCTGCCTATTGATGAAAGTCTAAAGACCATATCTTTTGTCAGGTGCAGATCTCAGCAGCCTGATATTTAGTAACTCAAAAAGAGCTATCTAAGAATGAGACTTAAAACTTGCACAGAATCTTTTGGGCATATTATTTTTCTTCAGCCTACAAATTAGACTGTATCAGGTCTTTGGTTCTAATTTTGGTGACATCTTTCTCTTATTATTTTCTTAGTCACAACTATTCATTGAAATAATTCTACCTACTCGCCATCTCTTCGTCTAAGAAGTGTCACAGATATAAAAGCAAAGAGGTTATATGGTATACATACAATATTCAGTTGAACCTTGAGCCTCACCCTGTTTATCATCTTTACACTAGCTAACTACATAACCAATTTCCTACACCTTTTTTGTTTGCTATACTCTGTCTTATAGATCTCGTTCATAACATTTTTGTAACATGCATTTTAACATCTAAAATGGTATACTGATAACTGCCCTACAGAATTACATATTTCTGTTTTTCAGAGATGTATAAATATGAGCTAAGTTTGTATTTGGAAAACAGAAGTTTCCTTTGATTTTTTTCCCCCTTTATATGTTAGTAAAACTTATTCTTCATTACTGTGGACTAAAATTAAAAGATAAGTATAAAAATGTTCATAAGACCCTGATACTCTACTTGGCTGGACAAGCCATCACTTGAACGTCTGATATCATCTGTTAAAGGCCAACAAACAGAAGCCAGCGGTCAGAATAACGCCAGAGCAGTGTCTATGACCTGGTTGGGAGGCCAGGTGCACCTGTTGGCATCAGTCAATTAGGCTAGAGAGTCAATTGCTTTACTAGTTGCTTCCATGGACAGAAAAGAGCAGGAAATTAATAGACCAGTCTAACTTAATCAGAGAAACTTACTGAAAAAGGTATCAAAACAGTAACATATAAATACAGATCCTTTACAGTAGTCAAATTGCCTTTCCTCACCTTGGAAAAGTGACTGATATAATCTTCCTAAGGTGAATAATGAAGCTGAGTACTACTCTTTCATAAAGGCTTTCTGTATTCTCAAGTACTGCACAGGGCAGCTTATAGTGCCTTTAGTTGCACAGCCATGGAGGTATAGATATGTATAGATATCATCATTCTCCTGGTACATAGAATAAGTTGAGGCCTAGAGAGGTTAACTGACTTACCAGAGAACACACTACAGAAAAGTGACAGAGCCATGATCCACATTCCCATTTGCACTGACTTCAGAACCTGTTGTGCCTTTTGTCCTCTCTAAATAGGAGTCAGCTACAACACTGAGTAGCACTGAAATGCTATTGGTGGCTGGTAGGTGAGAGAGCAGATAGAACATTTCTAAAGCTGAAGACCTGGTATCCTTGCTGCTTGTAAGCACAACTTGATGGTTTGGCATCATCTGTCCGTAAAGAGGCTGGGAGTTCTCAAATACATGCACCTTTTTTTCACTCTATCAGCTGAACTAATTGGCTGGCCACTTTGGAACCAAAATTTATATTACCCAGAATTGACCTCAGTACATTACCAGAGTCTGAAATTTTCTTTCTTTTTTTTTTTCCCCTGCATTTGTTATTTCATCAGACCCCTCAACTGGTTCATTTTGTAGAAGAAAGAGAAGGGAAATTTGGAAAACAATAGCAAGTCACTTACTTTAAAAATGACAAAAATGCTTTTAGTATATATTCTTTCAGACTAAGGAAATACATTGTTGTATCTAACCACAAGAGCATGAAAATTGTTACTTTTAATACCTTTTAACCCCAGCTGTCTGAGGTCATTGCAGAATTTAATTCAGTAACTTATTAATCACTTTATAAAACCTAGGTATACTCTCCTCCCCACCCCCTCACCCAGTACTGGTAATTGAACCCAGGGGCACTGTACCACCAAGGGCCATATCACTAGCCCTTTTTATTTTTTGAAACAAAATCTCACTGAGTTTCAGAGGCTCACCTTGAACTTGTGATCCTGCATCTCCATCCTCCCAAGTTGTGGGGATTATAGATATGCACCACCACACCTGGCCTAGATGTACATTTTTTCCTTTTTTTTTTTAATATTTTATTTTTTAGTTATCGGCAGACACAACATCTTTGTTTGTATGTGGTGCTGAGGATCGAACCCGGGCCGCACGCATGCCAGGCGAGCGCGCTACCGCTTGAGCCACATCCCCAGCCCTAGGTGTACATTTTTTCAGTAAACAGAAGACTCAAACCTAATGCTGACTACTCTGTGTTTTAGGTTTTTAGCACTGCCACTGTATAAGCACAGGGTCATTGAGCTTAGGACACGTCTTTCTTATTTAGAAGCCCCTTGGTTCTCAGCAGGTAAATAACAATGGTCAATGATGGGAAATTGTTTTTTTATTAATGGTCATGTGAACTGGAAATGCACGCTTAATTTTTGTAAAACTAACAGAATTGTACAGAAATTTGTTATAAGCAAGTTAACACTGTAGAAACTAATAGGGATTCCCCAAAACCCTTTTCTTTTTCTCACAGTGCGAAAGAAACGAGTTGAAGGAGACCACCAGTAAGTCCAACAAAGTATAATCTTTGGAAGACTTCAGAACTTTACCAAGGGCTCATGTTGGTGACATCAGAAGTAAAATTTTTCTGGGTAGAAGGGAAAAGACTGGAAATCTTTTTGTTTGTTTGTTTGTTTAGCTTTTTTGTTAGCTATATGCATTATTTTCCTAGTTTAAGTTGTTATCAGTTTAAAATTATAAAATCAATAGTATCTGGTATTTTATATTTTGAAGCATTTCCACTTTCTACTAAAATCAGTTTTAATTTAGCTTAATTAAATGACTTATAATGAGTCTTGGGCAAAAAACAATACGATTATAAATAAGTTTCAGAAGTCATTTATGTAGAATAATTTGAGGACCAATTTTTTAAATTAAAAAGGGACATTGCTGATATCAATTGCTCCTTCGAGGTATAAGGCACTTAAAAGTTTTCTTTGTTTTGTAACCTGGATACTTTTCCATTTTTTAAGAATAAATGAACTTGACAAGGGTATATTTTTTCCTTATCAAGGAATCAAAATGCAATGATTTTTAAACAGATGGCTCAAAATCTGGTGAAGTGTTCAGAAGCCAAAGCAGACCTCCAGGGAGAGACCTTCATGCAGTGCAGGTTACTGTGCTTGTCTGATGCAGCTCAGCAACATCTAGGGATTTGTTTTTTAAACAAAATCATCAGCTGATCCAGGTTATATGCTTTGTTTAAAAATATAGTATGTCTAAGTATTTTTAATTGGTTCATTTTAGTTATAAATGACAGTAGAATTTGTTTTGACATAATGAAAGCATGGAATATATCATGTTCTGGTGAAGACCCTAGTACCTCTTTTTCCCCTTCCCTTTTCCTACCCCCAGCTTCCTTTCCTCTATTGATCTTTCTGCCATTTACCCAGTTATTATTTCTTAATTAATTCTTTGTGGATGTACTTGATGGTAAGATTCACTATGGTATATTCATGTATGTGCATAGGAAATTTATGTCAGATTGATTCCACTGTCTTTCCTTTTCCCATTCTCCCTTCAACCCCCATTTATGTCTATGTTTATTACAGTTTTTCATTTTAATGTGGGCATTATTAAATTTTTATGAAAGCTAATGGTAAAAAAAACATCTAAGTAGAAAAGTTGTTTTCTTCCCCCATAAAAAGGCACACAGCCAACTCTCAGTTATTTAGGATAAAATAAAAAAGAAAGCTGCTGTTAAACATGTGAAATCATAGGTAACATGATGGAGTTCAGGTTTAAGGAACTTGCAAAACAGCCACTTAAACTGATGGTTACTATAAGGAAGTTAGAAACTGGGATGTGTGTAAATTACTTGGTATTGTGCTGTATGCCAAGAAGTTCCATATGCAGCGCAGAATGGCATAGACAATATTTAATCCCCACTACACACTTTCCAGCCAAAAAAGAGAAGTGCTGATCTTCAGAATCTGATTCTATTATATGCTTCCTTTCATCTTGCACTTTTTCCATATTGTATAAAAATATTTTCTATAACAAAAGTGGTCTTTATTGCTCAGAGTATTAAGGTGAGTGCTTGAACAGAGTTCTGTGGCGAGAGGACAAGTGTGACACTGCACACCCCAGCTGTGCTACAGGGTTTGATTTTACATTCATGTCCTGTCCCATAGCAGCTCTTTAGCAGGAGATAGCAGACGCACTCACATCTACAGAAGACTGGGAAGAAGGGGATCAGAAAAATACTGGCCTCATAAGGCCTACCTGGATCATTTACAAAAAGATATTTCTGAGTAAGGGGAAGGTAGTTTGTCATGGTTAGTTTTTTAAAAACCTTTTGAAGTTGAATCACAAAATGTCTACTATTTTGGCTGCCAAACAATTTATCCCATGATCTAGGCAGCAGCTTGTGTACTATAGTAATAAGCCTTCTTCACAGGCTAAAGCTTCCCTCATAGGAACTGTGGTGTGTTTGCTTTTTTGAAAAATCAGTATCCAGTATTTCAAAGGGGCCAAAGATTAACTTTGCACTATTCCCTTTCAGTTAAAAGCCACTGATTTTTTTTTTCCAAGTTAGAAAGGCTTCACTTGCTTGCTTTCTCATCTGACTGCCTCCCCCAACACCAGCCTCTACTGTCTCTCTCCCTCTCCTCTTCCCCTCCCTTCTTCCTTCTTTACATATACAACTTTTGAATTGTACTTGATTTTATAAACTGTGCAATTCCAGCAAGATTTGGAGTCAGGCATGGAGCAGGTATCTAAATAGGCTACCACAAAGAATTGGTCACTTAAACTTCTAGCCAGGCTTCCTCATTTGCATTGCCCTGTAAATCAGTTAATAAGTGTGCTCCCCTCTCTCCCATTTGGTGTTTTTTTTTTCCTAAATATTGTTAAGGTTGGTCCCTACGTAGAATTTTGTATCATACTTACAGGAATATCTTTTTTACCTACTATTTATCAAAGTATGACTAAGTTGAGTATTTTGCTTGTACCATTCCAGTTCTGTGCTATAATACATTTTATAATTTCTTTATAAATAATTTTAATATGAATACTCATCCAACTAAATATGGAAATCTCTCAAGTATTATAATTATAAGGTAGAATAACAGTGTTTACTTTGAAAAAATCTGGTACCTCGCTGAGCATGGTGGCTCATGCCTGTAATCCCAGTGACTTGGGAGGCTGAGGTAGGAAGATCACAAGTTTAAGGCCAGCCTCAGCGATTTAGTGAGGCCCTAGCTATTTAACAAGACCCTATCTCAAAATAAAAAATAAAAGAAGTCATGGACTGGGATTGTATCTCAGTGGTAGAGTACTTGCCTGGCATGGGTGAAGCACTGGGTTCTATCCTTAGCACCACATAAAAACAAATAAATAAAATAAAGTTTAAATTCGTTAAAAAAAAAAAAAGTCTGGGGATATAACTCAGTGGTAGAGTGGCCCTAGGTTCAACCCCAGTACCCCCCCCAAAAAAAAAATTGGTACCTTTTAATCTTTTTAAGAAAAAAATTTAATTACCCATTTTATAAAATTTTATATTTATATTTGTCTGGAGTTCAAATTTTTCCAGTATGTCTATATGAAATTGTTTTTAAAACTCAATATTATTGCCAATATTAATATGATGAAAATGGATTTTGGTGCTATATATTTGTAGCTAAAGCCTTGTAAAAATCTAAAGAATAAGCAAAATATATTTTCTAAGGGTGCCACATTATTTAAAAGACCAAATAAACAATTGTATTACATAATCTAGCAGATTGTTATCAATTTCAAGGGGAGTTTTCTTGGTCATTAAATTGTAAATTCTTGTTCTCTGAATCAAGTAACCCACTTGCTTTGTGCAAGAGGTACACTTGAGGAAAGTTAAATAAATAGAATTTTAGATCATTTTCCAATTAATCAATTATCTGGTGTGTTTTCCTTTTAAGGGGGGATTCCATGATATAATAAAAATTGTAAAAGAAAAAAAAAAGTTTTGACAAAATGTTAGTCCTGTTGTACATTATATATAACCTTGATTGCCATTAAAATAAGACAAAAGTTTGTAAAGTTTCATGAAATCTTACAGTTCCCAGGGCTACCTTATTTTCTCACTATAAAACCAGGAACCACTGTTACCTCCTAGCAGATCCAAGGATCATGCTATCTCTGGAGTCCATGGACACTGCCATTCTCTGCAGGTTCAGTCCTGTCCAGCTTTGCTCCTGCACTACAGTGATACTTCACTTTTGAACAGTATTGACTGAAAACATGGCACCCAAGAGAAACAAACACATGGATGGAATAAAGACAACTCCTGTTGCTACTGGCCAGATGAAGGGTTTTAAGTTGTTGGATCTAAACATCTGGAGAACTGTCTTCAATACCAGCTGATGCTGATTAATATTGTTTCTGGATAGCTCTCACTCTAAGACTTGCTTATCAAACAAATCAAACTCTTCCCTAATGATTTTTAAATTGAGAAAATACTATCCATATGCAATGATTTTTATATTGTTATATTTTAATCTGGTTATTCTTTATATCATTGATTTTTCTTCACTATAATTCAGTTCTATAAGTCTTCTATAAAATTGGACAATTTGGAATTTTTAATAATAAAACATTTGTAACAATTTATTAATTTTAAACTCTACCTTGCAGTCTCATTATTCAGAGGGGCCAACCTTAGGGATTACCTAGGGGAAAATACATAATTAAGTAAATTATCATGGCCATTATCATATATTTTAGAAAGCCTTTATTAATATGTAAAGAACTAGGTTGGGGATGTAACTCAGTGGTAGTAGAGTGCTGAACCCAAGGGCCTGGGTTCAGTCCCCTGTGCTACTAAAAGAAAAAGGAGGAAAAAGAAAAGAATTGGACTTGGGATACCTGCTTTAGAGTTTAATAAATTAAAACACTAAGAAACACCACCATATTTTGTTAAATATAACAAGTTCACGTATTTTATTTAAGATTCTCCCACATCCTTAGATTCTACGTATAGAGGTTTTGCTCCCTTTTCTACAGACTATTAGTATATTAGTTCAAAGCAACTAATTGGCATAAAATCCTTCAGATATCATCGTTTATATACTTGGAGTGATGTTTAAGACTTAAGAACAAATTCTAGGTTCTTGATGGGTATGTTTAGCCATTATTAAGAGTTTAAATTTCATCTCCACTCAAAGACAAGTGTATTTTGTTGTTGTATTATGTTGGTTATTGTTTTGAGACTAGTCTCCCTGTGTTGCCCAGGCTGGCTTCATACTTCTGGACTCAAGCAGTCACTACACTCTCTGAAAAATGAGTTTTTGATTCAGTTGTTTCAAAGTTTTAGATTTGTCTGCTTAAGAATTGTTTTTTTTAAGGTATGCACACAGGGGCTGAGGGTATATTCAGTGATAGAGCATTTGCCTAGCATACAGGAGGCCTGGATTCAGTCCCCAGAACCACAGACACAAATATGTACATGTATAGCATAAAAACCTTTGTAATTTCAAATAAATTTTCACTTTTATTTCAGTCTTTTGGATTAAAAGCTTGAAAATTGCTTTTGTAACATCATTCTTTGTCACATAAAGTCAAGTTTTTAGATATTTTTTTCCTTGGCTAATATATCCAAAATACTCTAAATGTCATACTTTTCCATCTTATAAGTACAAAAAGCAATGAATTATATAACACTGTTGTTTAAATAATTTTAAAAATCCCCTCAGTTCATAATAATGCAATGAAGTTTCTTGTGAAGAATATGCACTATAGGCATTTAGAACTTAACAATTATATACTAGAACAAATTTCAATAAAGTTTACCAAATATCCTGTAGACTTAGGTTTTTTGGAAGAGCACATAATCTTTTTAGTTCCTGTAATTCTTTAAAAAATATTTTTTAGTTGTTGATAGACCTTTATTTATTTGTATGTGTTGCTGAGAATCGAATCCAATGCCTCACACATGCCAGGCAAGCACTTTTCCACTGAGCTACAACTCCAGCCCTAGTTCCTGTATTTTAAAGTTAATTATTTATATCATTCTAAAATAAGTTTACTAATTTCCTAAATTTTCTATCCTACCTGTTATGGACTGAATATGTGTCTCCCCAAAATTTGTAGGTTGAAGATCTAATCCCCAATGTCATGGTATTTGGAGATGGGGCCTCTGGAAGGTAATTAGGATTAGATAAGGTCCCAAATGTGGGGCCCTTGTGATGAGAAGAGACAAAAGACACAAAACTCTCTGTCATGTGAGGAGATGTTGAAAACATAGCTGTCTACAATCCAGAAAGAGAGCCCTTCCTAGGTGCTGAACCTTGATCTTGGACGTCCCAGCCTCTGGAAATATGAGAAGTTTCTGTTGTGCAAACCAATCAATCTTTGATACTTTGTTAGAATAGACTCAGCTAAGATATTACCCTATTGAGCCATATAAATTGTCAATAGTTGGCCATTTTTACCCATAAAAATAGTGATTTTACGTGGCTCAATGTAATAACAGTACTTGGTCTTATCTGATCATAGAACTAAATTAAATTGACAGATATGAAGAAGCAGGGTTCTGTGATACAGTACATTCTGGACCTGACAGGAGCCAGTCTTGCTAATCAACTAGAGGTGCTTTTTACAGTAAAGCAGTCACTTAGATCCATCAGCCAAAATAGAAAATCAGTGGAACGTGTATTGGGTTTGATCGAGCTTTATATTCACAGACAGGACATCCTGATATATATGGCAAGTTAGACAGGCTTTGGAGTTTTGAGAGGCTCCTCTGTCTGAGAGGACTCAAGAGTGCCAGGAGCTATGGGGAGAGTGCCCTCATCGTGTCCTCTGAAGCAGTTTAGTAAAAGACACTCAGTACATGGGGCACTTCTGTCTTTAGGTACCAAACTCTGGGCGGTTAACCAACCACATGTGAATCCAAAATTGCAAAACATTTGTTTTCCTTCAGATGTTTAAGCTTTCCTGCATGAGCAAACATTGAGAAACTGGAGATTTCACAGATACATCTAAGCATCAAGGCCATATTAAGAATCCCTGAGCTTACAATTAAATTATGCTAGTACCTCTTGGTGTTCTGAATGAGTCTCTAAGTCTCCTTTCAGGAACTAATGCAAATTATGAAAGTGTTTACTATTCATGAAATTGTGCTATTAAGGTAGGAAAAGGAGGGCTGGGGATGTGGGTCAAGCCTTAGCGCGCTTGCCTGGCATGCGTGCCGTGCGGCCCAGGTTCAATCCTCAGCACCACATACAAAGATGTTGTGTCTGCCGAATATTGAAAAATAAATATTGAAATTCTCTCTCTAAAAAAAAAAAAAAAAAAAACTTGTAGCTGAGTGGCACCTGATTCCCCAACCTAAAGGGTCAGCTGCAAGTTAAAAAAAAAAAAAAAAAGATAGGAAAAGGAGATAGAATGTAAGTCCAGGTTTTCTGTATTGAGAAGATGGGGCATGTTTTTCCTTGATCATTTCCATCTAATAATAAAACATCAAGTATTCAACTCTCAGAGGCAGAGAAATAACAAATGTTAGATCATGAAGGATTTTTGTAGTCAAGTCTAAACCCATCTACTTGAGGAAGCTGACCTCAAAGAAATCAAAGTGACTTTCCCAAGATAACACTGCTGGTTCCTTTATTCCGAATGTATTTATTAGGTACCCATTATCTTACACCCACCAGGGGAGTCACAAGGCTAGGAGTTGAAGCTAGTGTTCTGTTTCTATTGCTCTTTTCCTTAAAGCTCATTTATCTCAGGTGAGTATCTTGAGCATCTGTCTTCATTAGGTCACTGATGTATTTCAACTTTGTGATTGTTTCCATCTGTAAGGTGAGTATAATAACACCTACAGGGTTTTTTGAGGGGTAGAGCTGGAATAGAACAGCTCTCAGCAAAGCTCCCAGTATCCTCGGAGCCCTACCATGTAGAACCTGCTCTTCTAAGACAGCAGGCCTTGTGGTAAATGGAATTAACGCCTTTGCCAAGGAGACTAGAGAGCACAGGAGGGCCCTAAACCCAGCTAGCCAAGGCAGAAAGACACCTGGAGGCCATCCCTGAGCTGAACTTAAGCTGACATCTGACCCCTGGCCAGGAGGAAGTGATGGGGCATGGCAGCAGGAATGCACTCAAACTAAGACCCACGCAGAGCAAACACTTACCAAAATAATCTTCTCACTTGGCAAAAGGAGATTTTCTAAAGACTTGGTTTTGAACATTTTTTTATTCATAACTAAGTTTATGCAGAAAATTTTTAATTAAAACAAGTCATTTCATCATTAAAAAAAAAAAAAACTTGAGAGGCTGGGGATGTAGCTCACTGGTAGGGCATGGACTTTGCATACACAAGACTCTGGGCTGGATCCCCAGCCCCACCAAAATTTTTTTTAAAAAAACAAAACCAGGGGCTGGGGTTGTGGCTCAAGTGGTAGCGCGTTCGCCTGGCATGCGCAAGGCACTGGGTTTGATCCTCAGCACCACATAAAAATAAAATAAAGATATTGTGTCCACCTAAAAAAAACTAAAAAAAAAAAAAATTAAAAAAAAATGTTGAATGAAGTTTATACTAGTGCACATCTTATGCTTCAATCATCTTCCTCTTCACCCCTTGCTTTCCTCTTTCTGGAATATTCATCTCCTGAACAGATAATAGATGAGTTGTAAAATTCAATATAAGGCATTTTTGGAAATCTTACTAAAATAGGTTCTAGCTGACAAGGGAAGAGTCAGCTCCTCATGTTAGACCTTGACACTCCTGGTGGCTGACCTGCATCACACAAGACACTGGCTCTAGAAGGTCAGGCTCCTAGAAACTGGGTTTCCCAGGGCTGCTGTCATGTATGACTGACTTTTTTCTATACTGACTATGTTTTTGTTTTGCCACACTGGAAATTGAACCCAGGGCCTTGAACATGCTAGGCAAGTCCTCTACCACTGTTTTATTTTTTAATGTTTTAAAATGTGTTTATTTTTATGTGGTGTTGAGGATCAAACCCATGCCTCATGCTTGGGAGGCAAGCGCTCTACCACTGAGCCACAACCCCAGGCCCACTGTTTTATTTTGAGACAAGGTCTTGCTAACTTACCCCAGCTGACCTCAAACTTGTGGTCTTTCAAACCTCCTCCCTCAGCCTCCTGAGTATAGGAATACCTATACCTATAGGTATGTGCACCACGCCTGGTTTACTGAGTGACCTTACCATATTACTTGAAATATGTCCCTCTCTTCCTCAGTACTTCACTTTTCTCTGTCTACAATTCTGTATTTTAGAGCTTTTTAAAAGCCTTTTGATTTTAAGCAAAGATTGCTAATGACATGTGTTTTTTCAGTATGGTTTTAAATCTTTAAATATATATGCGTATGGAAAACAAATGAAAAAGTCACTAAAGTTTAATTAAGCATTTATGTGACTGTGAGACTTATTTCTATCTGTATCTCTGGAACTTAGAATGCAAGCCAGGCACAGTGGCACATGCCTATAATCCCAATGACTCAGGAGGCTGAGGTAAGAAGATGGCAAGTTCAAAGCTAACCTCGGTAACTTAACAAGACCCACCTAGGAGGTAGGGGGAAAGATTGGGGATGCAGCTCAGTGGTAGAGTGCCCGGGGTTTAATCCCCAGTACTCAAAAAAGACATATATATGTTAAGTGTTACAAAAATAATGAATAAATTCATATGGCATAAAGGCAATAACAGTAATTCTCATACTTAGTTAAGACTTAAAATTTCTTTGTTCCTTTGAAGTTATAAAAGAAAACAAGGAATTACTGGGAGAAATATTTCAATAGAAATAACCCTCAACTACTATAATATCCAAACAATAAAGACACTCATTTTCCCACAACAAACATGATAGATCCCTTGTTTTACTGACACCAAACTATCATTCTTTACCTGAGCCATGGTATCTGAGAATCCTGCATCTTGTCTTATAGTATGTTCCTACCTGAAATGCTCAACTCTGGCCCATGTGCCTGCCGAGATTCCACTTACTCTTAGTGCCTATTAGAAGTCTCCTCTGAGAAGCCTTCCAAGAGCCATCAAGCACAGGTATCAGACCCTTCTCTGGGCCCTTCTAATTCCTATATTGCCTGAAATTCAGTGAGACAAATTGCTTCTGGTCTGTGAGCTCCTCTTCCCGGGAGTTGGTTCCTGGGCACAAGGCCAACCCTTAGAATTGAGTAAATGCGGGCTTACCTCATCACCAGTGATTTTCTTTTCTTTGAGTAATCTTTGAACTTCATCTTCTTCTGATCTTTCATCACTGTCCTCTGAGGAATATCTAGCTTGTTCCTCTGAAAGCAAAGGAATTTTAGACATGGTATTGACCTCTGTAGTGATTCAACTTGACCTGACCATAGCCATCTTGAATCATCACCACATGGTTGCCCCTGAGCAACCCTGTCCTATGCATAGTGGTTTGTGAATCTTTATGATCAGACCCTAGTTCATCAGCACCAGGAATGTGCCTGACGTCTTTGCTGTTAGTTGCATATAAGCCTGATAGATGAATACCACCTTTGTCCTGACCACTACATAATTTTCCTTCTCTCACCCAAGTTGAGGATCCACTGATCTTGCTGCCAGCCTTGACCATGCTTCTGTCAGTAAGTCCCCAATAAATTGCATTCTGTGCAATCCTGAAACTGTCTACTTCTTTTTTCAGTCTGTCAGCACCTTCTGCCTACAGTGGCCAGTCCTTTTACACTGGCTTTTCCCAGAACAACCTTCGAAGATGATGACCCTTTTATTCTTGAAAGTTTCTTCTGCTGAATATTGTTACTTCCCACTAGACATTTTCCTTGAGAAGACAACAGGTATTTTTAAGTGTCAGTGGGAAGGCAGATATAACTTTCCCACTTGCTGAAATGACTTAGATTGAAAGGTTTTTCTCAAGTTATTTGACCATCTGAAATATCCAAGAAAGGGGCTGGAGATATAGCTCAGTTGATAGAGTGTTTGCCTCCCATGCACAAGGTCATGGGTTCATACCCTAGCACTATAAAAACAAAAACAAAAACCAAGAAACGTTAGGTATTATCACCTTTAAGAACTATGAAATTTAAATACTAAGTCCTTAATTATACAATTAACTGCATATATAACAATTTATATGATAACATACATTTTCCTCCACAAACATTTATTTAATAAGTTTTCTTTGTTTTGGAAATGCCTTATGTTCACAGTTAACCTTTTCTGTGGGAAAGTGGCTCTAACAAAAACAAAAACAACCAAAGTGGTGGTGGGGGGGGGAGGGTGTTGTACTGGCTGATGGACAGGGAGGAAGAGCTCACCAGAGCAAAGCAGGCCCTGTCACCTGAAGTAAGATCTGACCACACCTGGCGCAGCCCAGAGTTTCCCTTAGTGATGGGCCTCAGTGGCAGCCAAGCTGGAGGCCTCCTCACCTTCCTCATCCTCATCACTGCCAGGGTCCTGGTCAAGAACACTTGGCCCCTGCTGGTTCTGTTTCCCCTGCAGATGGACAGCCTGGTGAGTAGACAGCCTCAAGCGTTCTTCTTTCTGTAAAGAAGCAAATAAACTCTTTTAGCTGGACATGGTGGTGTACACCTCTAATCTCAGCTACTGAGGAGGCTAAGGGGGAGGATCAATTGAGGCCATGAGGTTTATGCCAGCCTGGGCAGCAGTCACACCCTGTCTCAAAAAAAAAAGCTACTTTCATGCCTACTTGAATCCTCTTTTACCCTAAGAAACATGTAAATGCCTAGTCCAAGACAGCACCTAGGCCCTGTATCTCCAGAGTGCAGACACCTCTCTTTGCACCTTTGTTACCACACACAGTGGATGGTTTGGTTTGGTTTGACATCATGAAGGCAATACAAAGGTGAAGAGGAGGGAAGGATCCCTCACTCTAGTCAGCCCACTCAGATCTGGCACAGGAGTAGTCTCAGAACTTACACTGTTCTCTCAGGACAGTGCCACTCAGCCCATGCAGAAAAGTCAACAGCCTGAGAAACCCAATCCATGCCCGGGACAGCTGAATTGACTTCCCAGGGGAGTGGGGGCTGTCTTTGTCATCCCTGAGCTGCACACACTGGACCTTCCTAGGTTCCACTCCCAAAGTGTCTAGATATTCCTGTCCTGACCCTCAACCCAGAGAGCTTCCCACAGCACCTGACAATAGGCGGGGTGAGGGGATCCCCAAGCTACAAGGCAGAACCTTCCTTGCCTTACAGCTGCCTGGCATTCTGCACTTTGGCCAAAAGGCTGGACCAGTGTCAGGCAAGTCTGGAATGTTCTTTTGACCTTCCTATTTTCTAATACAGTTTTGTAATGTCTGTCAAAAAGACGTTCGGTTCTAAAAATCAATAGTTTTTCTCTGAAATCTTATAAATCATGGGGACAGCGTTTGAGTCCCTTGTTTGCTATAAGCTTCCATCAGCCATTGACATTATTATGGCTGATTAACTACAAACTTAGCAGGTTAAGCTGGATTTTGGTAACTACAAGAAATGAAATAATAGTGGCAGCAAAAAAAAAAAAGTGAATTAATATTCTGGAAAATAACACCTCTTAATACACACAAAAAAAAATCTAGGATAAAACCTAGAGAACATACCTTAATCATTTCTGTGCGTTGGCATTCAGGATCATGACCAGCTATTGGCAAGATTCTAATCTGTGTCTTTGAACTTCTATCCAGGAGTGGCAGGGTCATCTTTCTATGTGTGGCACTATCTGTAGAGTGAGGTCTGCCAGGAAATGAACAACAACAATGTCTCACTCTTTAGCAAGAACATTTGGGGCAAGCATACTAACAGCCACATAACCTGGAGACAGTGACAGCCTCACACTGGGCAGAGCAAGGAGGCAGAACCACAGTTTCCCATTCTCTGGCTGAGAAGCTCCCCATCCCCCGCTGCCCCTCCTCCTGGGGAAATCTGTGTAAATAGAAGTGGAGTGGAAAGGAGGGAAGGCAGGTGGTAAGGTCAAGGGCTTTTATAAAGAACACACACATAGGAGAGAAGTAATATGAGATCTTAGTTCTTAAAGGGTGGCACAAATGCAGAAAGTACAATTGGAGAACTGAAAGTGAGTCCCTCCACCTGGATAAAACTGGGAGGAAGGTCAAAGAGCAAAGGAAGGATGAGCTTTAGGAAAGGGTCTCCAAAGAAGGCATGGCTACAGAGAAATGTAAGAAACAAAGTTGTGTTGGGCAGATATCCCACTGTGGAACACGGGGCAGTATGGGGCAGCACAGGGCAGCACGGAGCATGGTGCAGAACAGGCAGAATAAGTACTACGTATCTTTGGGATGCCATTCTAGGAGACATCCTTAAAAGGAGCACCATTTATTGTGCCAGGTTTCTGCAGGAAGTTTTATATAGTCTTCAACTTAATTAACAACATCTCCGAGAGGTAGACATTATCTTCATGTTATAGCAGAGGGAACTGGAAGTTAGTGAGTTTGAGACCCCTCCTCAAGACTACACAATCTCAGAGCTGTCCCTCACAATGTTTATATAAACACCAACAAATTCTCTGGGTATAATAATATACCATAACATTCACTCTTTTTAAGTATAGAATTAAATGATTTTTTTTTTGCAAAGTTATGCAAAAATTACTGCAATCTGATTTTAGAAGATCTTCATGATCCCAAACAGAACCTGTGCCCATAACTCTGGAGGAAAGTCAATCCTAATCTCAGCAGTGTGTCTTTCAGAGGGAGGGTGTCTAGAAGGCGCCACAGCACCACCCATGGCAATGAGCTCAGCTGATCTACACATTGCTTGGGCACAGCCGGTCATGCCAGTTGCATCTACACACTGGCCCCATTCTGATGACACTTAGCTTCCAGGTCAATTTCACTAAAGGGAAAGGCCACACAGATGCATTGTTAAGACTGTTACCAGGTGCGCTGACCAATGTGAGTATATATACCTGTCTCCTAGGTTATACATCAGTCTCCTGTGAGTTTTGATGGCATGAGCTAGCTCCCAGAGAAGTGGCGTCCAAAACAGAAATTCACAGTTAACTTGAGAATCAGTCCCCAGTCCTTGGTGAGCTGCACTATGGAATTAGGTCAGTTGGAAGAATCAGGAACAACATCTCCATTTTGTTACTCTTTAACCACAAGTGACAATGTGCAGATAGGAACAATTACCTAAAGGTAAGTCTGGATTTAAAGATGGCTTGTCCCAGTAGACCAGTGTCTTCCCTTATAAATAGGTGGTTGTGATTGCCCTGCAGTGGGGCTTTGTAGACATCAAACACTTCGTTGCCTAAATGCAGAGACATGCTGGAAAGGAAAAGCCATTCAGCTATTAAGATGGATATTTAGTGAGCCCTACAGCATCCATTCTACCCTGTTAGCTTCACTTAAAAAATGAAGAACTGTGGAATCCTGTCTTCATATTGAATTCATAAGGAAGAAAAGCTACTGTCAATAACCTACTTCCCTTCAAAGTAAAATGTGGTCAAATCTATCCTCCTTTCAACTTGAAATATAATTCTTTGTAATTTCCCCAATTGCTACCACTTCATTAGCCAACAGAAATCATTTTTCAAAAATATTAATTAAGGGGTGGAGCATGAAAAAAATTGAGGAATTTTGATGGGGCAAAGGGCAAGGAGCAGTGAGGTGGGGGAAAGAGGGAAGGAAAGATGGTGGAATGATATGGACATCATTACCCTAAGTACATGTATGACTACAAATATGGTGTGATGCTACATTGTATACAACCAGATAAATGAAAAGTTGTGCTGAAATTGTGTACAATGAATCAAAATGCATTCTGCTGTCCTGTATACCTAATTAAAATGAATAAATAAATTAATTTTTTAAAAAGAAAAAAATATATATTAATTAAAATATCTGGAATCTCACACATGAGAACTGGCCTTAGTCTTTCACATGAACAAGGCAGATATAAGGGATTCGAACACAACTTGGGTCCATGTCCAAGGTCTCCCACAAGCAGGGTTAGAATGACCTCGACTTTGCTTCTCTCAATTTTTCTAGGTAAAGCCAGGGGTCTACCGTTTGTCAATTCTTTAATGAAAATAACACCCAAATAAAGTCCTACTCATCCAGGCCTTCCTGGAGTATTTCAACATTCTTGGGGCATATTGCACTTACCTCCCATCTGACCACTTGACTATCCGGGCATTGCTTTCTTTAACTTTCTTTCCTTCTTCATCTCGGCGAATCCTCCATCGTATAGTATTTTCTACCTGATTCAAAACACAAAGATATTAGAAAACCAATTTAAATACATCTTCTTTTTTCCTCAAGTGATCTATAATCATATGCCAAGAATTGATAGGTAATGATGGAATAAGCTTACTAAACACTGAAACCCATCTGCTGCAAATACCTAGAGTTATTGGTTGAACTAAACAGACATTTTGCTTAAAAAAACTTCTCTGAGATTCAATTCACAGCAGTAGAAGCAGAAGCACAGCATGATGCAGGCTGAGGCTTTGGTCCACATATAGTGGGCAGTTCAAACTGAGACCTCTGGGCTGGGGGTGTATTCAGTGGTAGAGCGCTTGCCTAGCATGCATGAAGCTGTGGGTTCCATCCTCAGTAGAAAAAAAAAAAAAAAGAATTTGAGACCTTTGTCTTTACAGAGTCCAGGAAAGAAGGGTTTAATAAGCGTCCTTTAGCTTAATGAAACAGAGGAACTCTGTGCATGAAATTAAATTTTTAAAAAAGAATAAACAACTAACTAATTAACAAAAAATTAAAACCCAAGACTTGTGCTCTGCCATATTTTTGAGGCCAAATTTCCCCACATAGTGGGAAACTCCAAGTCATAAAAGTAGAGTAAAAATTGACCATGTCCCGTGCTACCACTGGGGCCCCTGATAGGAGCTCAGCGGATGCTGATTAAGGAAGGCAAAACATACTGTGGAGCCTGACAGGTAGTGCCCGCCAGCCCAGGCCTTCTAAAGAAGAACAAGCTAATGGCAAGGTTTATTTTTGTGCATAATTTGAATATCCATAGAGTCTAAGACTTTTCTATTGTGGAATGTTGCTAGCATCTACCCACCAGAAAATGTGGAGGCAGTTCTGTATACCTCACTACATAATCCTGAAAGGAAGAAACAGTTTGCAACAATTTTTATCCCTACTTCTATCAAAAAATTTGAAATTGCAAAAAAAGAAAAGTGACAAACCTACAGGAAGTTAAAAAAAGATAGAGTATGATGTCCCTTCTCCCCTAAAAATACTTTGAAAAGTCATTTACTTCTTTGTTCTAAACAATTATTTATTGATAACAGGTAACATGAAAGATTTTCATAAACTCGAGTCTTGAGTTATCATTCCTGTACTTTACAAAAGAAAAAACTAGGCCAGGCAGAGTGGTGAGTGTTTGTGGTTCCAGCTACTCAGGAGGCTGAAGCAGGACGATCCTTGAGCCCAGGAGTTTAAGGACAGTCTGGACAATACAGCGAGACCCCATCTCATTAAAAAAGCAAACAGGGCTGGGGTTGTGGCTCAGCTGTCGAGCGCTCACCTAGCAGGTGCGAGGCGCTGGATTGGATCCTCAGCACCACATGAAAAAATAAATAAATAATATAAAGGTATTGTGTCCAACTATAACTAAAAAAATTTTTTTTTAAAGAAACAAACAAAAAGAAAAACAAAAAAGGAATAGAGCAGGAGGTAATACCTTTAATTTTAACCTGGTTCTATCTTCCTCATAAAGCACTTTCTCATCTTCAAATTCATCTTCATAAAACTGAGGATCGAAAGGTCTAAAATTTTTTTAATGTCATATTAGTCATAGTTAATAATGAATATTATTGACACTATTACTCATCTTTCTAATATGCACCAATGTTTCTTAAAATCATAGTGAGCAACTTCATGTAAGCCTTTAAGGAAGTATGCAAATTATGGTACTTTCTTGAAATTTATAAAACATATTGTCTGAAATAAAATCCAAATGTGACTAACAATTCAAAGTCTTCTTTGGAGGAATATGTCTTGCAAAGTATAAGCAAAACATGATCTAGCATTTCATATATTTTTTTAAGAACAGGTCATGCTTAATCACAAGAGCTTATACCCATGTGCCACATAGGTACTACCCATTGACATTATTTTGTTGTCAAAATAATTTTTTCTAGATTCACAATGATCTCTGCACTGAACATTTGTGGTTTGTCTCATCTTCCTCACTCATTTTCCAATTATTCAGCTTTACACTAGTGAAAAATGCCTCCATCAGTCATGATGTCTGTTTTAAGTACCAAAATGCTAGAAAGATTATTAATATTAAAGCTCTTACCAATAATTCTTCATTTTTCTACCTTAGTATATCCTAAATTCATTTTTTTAAGTTACAGGAGAAATATCTTTATGATTAGTCAACTCATGATAAATAAGAAAAATATTTTTGTTCTTCAAAGTTTTAGTCAGTATCTTGAAATTTTTAATCAGTTCTCTTACTTGGATTCTATACTGAGAAACTTGGGTAGTTTAACAAAATATAATTCATTTCCTAAGTCAGAGTTGATACTGGGAATTTTTATTTCTATTCTGGTTTCAGAAACAGGCTCTTCTTCCTGCTGGTCCTGAGGTACTCTGTGTTCATCCTAAGAGAGGAATCAGAAGGTAAGAGCGTGAGGAGACATTCAAAATGCACTAGCTTTACTCTGCACCAGGCAGACAAAGGTTTGAAAGGAGGTAAATTCAGGCACTGCTTTAGGGATAAAATAGCAATTTCTCCAAGCCTCTCCTAGAACTTCACCTTCCACACTTAAAACCAGCCAACAAAAATAATATGGGAACGAGGTCTGTTAGCCTGGGTTACTAGAAAAAATATTTATTTTATTGATGTTTCTATTTTTCATAAGATAGCCAGAGAAAGAAGTGTGAAATTATTCAACCCATCAATACTTACTGCTAAAATCAGAAAATACCAACATAGCCCAGGTTATGAGTCCTCCTGGTCCCGCCCCGAAGTTGGTATCGGCTTTGTCTGAGCAGTTCCTGCTGTGACTTCTAATATCCCACATTCCCAGTACAGCTAAGAATACCCCCATTCACCAGGTGTTTAGTTATCCTTGTCCTCTCTCAACATCAGAGAAACAGACCCTCAGCCTCTGAACCTTTTTCTTATCTTCACATAATGAGATAAATTGAGATGATGGTACTTACAACAGGCTGTCTTGGAATGGGTAGTAGATTGTCCTCCTCACTCTCTGAAGAAATGTCATCTATATCTCCAAACAGATCCATGGTCCCACTATAATGTTCAATGTTGGGGGGAAATGCACAATATATATTGGTCTGATTAAAGTTCTTCAACATGCTCCCAATATTCACCAACCAACTCTCCACTAAACCAGCCTCACACTGGCTCTCCAAGCCTGGCCCAGAAGCCTGATTTGTGCCTTGGAGATGGAAGAAGGCAAAGTCAGTTGGCCAAAGGCAAAGTCGCTGTGACTGCCAGCTTTCAAGATGGCTCCCAGAGATTCCCACCTCTGGTTTCCATGCTTTTGTGTGGTCGCCTCCAACATGGTCTCAAGATTGTTCTATGTGGTCAAGGGAGTACAACCTCACTTCTAGGTCAGGCTACGAATAACACTGGCTTTTCTGTGTTGCTCTTTCTCTCTTGGGTCTCACTCTGGGGGAAGCAGCTGCAACACTCGAACTGCTGGTGGGAAAGCCCAAGCAGTGAGGAAACAGGCCTCTGCAAAGAGCCACACGAGCTGTCTTGGAAACAGCCTTCAGTTCCAAGACTAGATACTGCAGTACAGCCTGTGTGACCCTAAGCTCTCCTGAATTTCCGACCCTCAGAAACTGTGTGAGATAGGAAATGTGCATTGTTTTAAGCTGCTGGCTGTTGGAGAAATTTGTTAGAGCAATAGAAGGCACCCTCTCCCTTTGTTCTCTGCATCCCTGTTTCCCATTCACTTTGTATTCTGGGGTCCCAGTGACCTCCTACCGTCAGGATACTCAAGTAGAGGCTTGAGTTCTCCACACAGCTCTGTCCTCTTCTTAAAACACTAGAGCTACATTGGCCCCCACATCCCTTCCTTCAAACGAGAATATCAGCTAGAACCATGCATGGTGGTATACACCTTTTTAATCCCAGCTACTTGGGAGGCTGAGGCAGAAGGATCACATATTCAAGGCCAGCCTGGGCAACTTAGTGAAATTCTGTCTTAGGAAAATGAAAAAAAAAAAATGCTGGGAGTGTAGCTCAGTGGTAGAATACCTACCTAGCATGTATGTGCAGGGTCCTGGGCTCGATTCCCAGTACTACAAAAAGTGGGATGGGGGGAGTATTCCATTGGAAATGGTGGCATACACCTATAATCCCAGCAATTTAGGAGGCTGAGACAGGAGGAGGATCACATATTCAAGGCTAGCCTCAGTAATTTAGTGAGACCTTGCTTCAAAGTTTAAAAAAAAAAA